AATTTTCGGACAGTGGAAGGATATTGGGCTGGAGAATGCCTCACCAAGAGCTTTGGCTCAACAGATTGCAGCCAACTGTGAAGCATGGCGGTTTCAGCGTGATGGTTTGGGGAGCTGTTTGGGTTGGTGGGAGATCGAGCTTAGTGGAGTACGTTGGCAACATAAATTTTGCGAAATACGTCGAAATATTGGAGGAAGGACTCTTGCCACTTTATTCCTCGGGTTTCGTGGACAAGAACACAAGGTTGTTCCAGGAAGCTGGAGCACCGTGTCACACTGCTAGAAACACCCAAAAGTGGCAGGAAAAAAATTGTATCCAGAAGTTGCTCTGGCCGAGCCAATCTCCTGACATGAACCCCATCGAAAACCTCTGGGCCATACTCGACCGGCAAGTCAAGAAACAACAAGAACAAAAAAAAATACCAACTTTGAAGAGCGATCTACTCCAAGGTTTGAAGCAAGATTGGGCGAAAATCCCATAATCTAAAATTGACGAGATGATTCTCACGATGCCCCAAAGGATCAACGAACTCCACGAAGCGAAAGGAAGATCTACTAGATATTAATTAAATTATAATTTTTTTCATTTTTTCTGAAAAGGTGGTGTCTATTTACTTGTGACCACGCTGTGTACATTATTCACGGACATGAATCACGATACACACGCAACACCCTGAGGAAAAAACATTAGGTATGCATGCTACGTGGTTAAATGAATTGATTATTTTATAATAAAATACTGCACAATACTCGGACGTAAGTTAAAGCGCTTATGGCACTGGAGATTATGGTGGTTTGTTATTAAGCATAAAGCCATACAAATGAGTATTTGTGCTCTGCCCACCACGGGTATCGAAACCCAGTTTCTAGCAGTATAAGTCCGCAGACATACCGCTGTTCCACTGGGAGGCCTAGAGCTTATGTTAACCGCACTGAAATCATAAGTTTCCGTAAAGAATTTCAAACTACAACGTAATAACCCAAAGTAAAGTATCTTACTCTTTCCGAAGTGTATCCCCGTCCCACCAAACATGCTCGCCCTTTCAGCCGTGGGGGCGTTATAATGTGACGATCAATCCCACTATTCGTTGGTAAAAGAGTAGCCCAAGAGTTGGCGGTGGGTGGTGATGACTAGCTGTTTTCCCTCTAGTCTTACATTGCAAAATTAGGGACGAATAGCGCAGATAGCCCTCGTGTAGCTTTGCGCGAAATTCAAATACAAACAAACAAACTTTCCGAAGTGCTGCATGATTAAAAAATATATTAACCCATTTCCAATTTGAGTACATGTTGTTTAGATTTACCGAGTTTAAAGTTTACTGATTTTCGTTATACGATTTTTACTAGACGAATATGAAGACTAGCGTAATTATGAATTTTGAACTACAAAAGAGTAATGGTCCAAAAACAATCACAAGACTTAGAATAAAATAGAAGTAAAATTATGAGCAAAAATGCAAAGTATTATAGAGAACATTAATTCTCCTAATATATAACTAATTTAATGGTAAACGTTCATTGTGTGTGTTTGTGTTGTATTTTCAGGTACGAACTGATTTTCCCAGCAGGTATAAGATAGTGTGTTTGTGTTAGGTATTAGATCCGCTAATAACATTAGATTCACTCAGGGAATGAGAGTAATATGAAACTAGTTCGACACTTTGCGAATGATAGTAAGGTTAATTGAAAATAAATAGTAATAAATATAAATAATTACTGTTAGAATAAAAAAGATAATGTTGTGTTATTAATTCTTACACGAAAAATTTGATTTGTAAATTACTTGTCTGTCTCACTACAGTCAGCTTGATGAGCGAGCTCTGGTACAGACGAAAAGTCACATCGGCACTGGATATGGCAGATTTAGTGTGAGTGATATATAACTTATGCTTTCACTCGTGGGTTCTTAGAACTTAGTAATTTTATTTTCTTAGAAGCATAGGAGTTTTATTTCTTAAAATTTGTGGTTTTACGTTCCTTGCATTTTTGTGTTGTTAAGTACAAAGCTACATAAAAAGCTATCCGTACTGTGAGAGAATCGACCCCCGAATATAAACTCTTAGCTTACTACAGAACTATCTGGAGGCATTTTAGGGTTAAAAGAATTTCAAAATGTTGAGGAAAACTAAACTACAACTCCAGCCCTATTAGAGGCCTCGTAATTATATTGTCAACGCTCTCATTTTGTGTTTAAGTTTAAAATCAAACCCGGTTGGAATTACCGATGGTATCTATTTCAGTTGAGAAAAGGTCAATGAATCCTTGGTTATAGATTAACACTCAGATTTTCTTTAGGGTTTAGGTTTGTTGAAATTTATCGGTATGTCGTATAATTACAAGACTAATTGGTCTTAAATGAAGTTTAAAAAGTAAAAAAATATATACATATCAGAACAAGATAGCTTGTTCTGTATTGCACAAAATAAAATTTTCATATAGAGAAATGTGTTTTCAGCTTCTTTGATAATTCGTAGAAATTACGCAATTCTAATGTTAGTGTTCTTCAAAGGTTTAAGAAAAATACTCGACTTGAAACTTAGCTGTTGTTAGAACCATCGGCCTCCTTTGAATTATACAATCAAGTGGTACGACTTAAGTTTCAACGAGTTCCACGAAACTTTTTATACTTTTTAACACAGATAATAAGGTAAGTACTGCCTGTCAATGAGAACCAATACATATATCAGCTTAATGAACACTATTGAAAACAAATGTGTATTTTTATATTTATATTAAGTTTTTTCTTTATTAAATATAATTCATACTAAAGCTTGTCCATGGTACTTTCATTAACAGTAGAGCTGAATATAACTATATAACCACTGTTTTTTCGTTATTTTGTAATTATTTATTGTAAGACAGTGAAGGCTAAGTCTGTTCGTCAAGGGGTTAAACATAAAAACATTTGTTGAGAACGTATATACAAGGGTGTAGTAAAATATTAACTTTTCTATTCACTAACATAATGTAACATAACAACATAATGAACACAACAATACAAACTGTATTACAGTTAAAGGAAAACAAATTCAACAACATAATACGATAGGCACAATCAGCCCTTATACGCATAATGAGGCTGGTTTATATATCGAATACAGGTAACCGGGACTTCAAGAAACATGAACCGAAAGAAGGGTAACGTCCAGCTGGAGTAAGGAAACGTGTGTATAACATCCTCACCCCACCTGTCCAATAACAATAATATATATAAATGAGGATATGGTAATAAGTTGTAGTAAACAATCACACAAATGAAATACACAAGTATGAATGACATTATTTAATTTAACGTTATCGATATCGTCGTCTTTCTCGAAGAACCGTTGCACCAATTTTAATTAAGCATTGAGAGAGATTGTCGTCTAATTCTCAGGCTACCCTTCTGAGAGGGTAACCTTTCCATTTGACCTTGAACTATCGTTTTCCGTTGTAGAGTCTGTCGTCGCAGATGTAGTAAACATTATTCTTGCACGTGAAACAAACCGTGTCTCTATGTTAACCGGTTTTCCTGATATGATTTCTCAAAAGTGTTTCTAAGTGCTTGGACACCATGTTTGATCATTAACACTAGTGTGGTACTGTTTCTTTTTCCCATTTGTCCATCCGTCTGAATGGTGGGCCTGAAATATTAATATCTATCGCTTATAGTTTTTGAAATGATAGCACCTCCTCAGACCAATTCATGAAAGAAGGCTTCAGCTGTGTTTTCTGCTATTATGGACCTCTTTATTTGAAATTATAATAATGTACTTTTCAAATAAATCTACGAACAAATTAGGAAATCATTACCTTTAGCCATCCAAAGTGGTGTGGGACCAAAGTTCATAGTTCATGGTTTCTTTGAGATGTTCCTGTGTTATAAAAGTGTAATTTAATGTTTTATAGAGGTGAAGATGCGTGGCAGTTGTCCTTGAAGTGTTATAGCAGCCAAATTTGCACCACGATGTAGAAGCATCGTGTAGATTATTAATTTATCTTCTGATTTAAGTATTTGCATTATAGGCTTACTGCAGATCAACCAGTTTACCTCTTGAAAAGTGTCCACGAAATTGTTTTTCAACATATTCTACATCTTTAATGTCTTGATTCATATCCTTGCTGTATACTAAAATAGAATCGAAGTAAAAACTTACACTATGACTTATGACAGCATAGAATAAATCATTTATGGCTATCGAAGAGGTTGCTACGCTGTTGGCTAGTCCAAACGACCTTATGAAAAACTACATTTCTAAATTTGGTATAGACATCCGTATATTGTATACCCTCTTTTTATATTTGCCAAGACCCACTTCATAGGTCAGGTTTGGAAGGTACTTTGGCTTCTGACAATTGATTGAGGTACTTTTCTACTAGGAGGTTCTGGATATTTATTTTACAAAAGGAAATATTATAACTTTTTCTGATAAATATTCCAGCTGTTTTCAGATTTCTGTTGTTTTTTGTTTTTTTTTACTTAAGAAGGAAGCTCATCCAGGAAGACCCATTTATAATTACTTTATTAAAATGTGCTATAAAGTGTTTAAATTCTCCCATAACTCTATTGAAAATTTCCCCTTCTTCAGTACTTCAGTAACTAGGTTCTACGTATGTCTCAATATCATTGTGATTCTTGGTGTCTTGACATAAATCCTCTTAGTTAACGAACACAGATTACTACAATGGGATTCTGTCCAACGATGATTGTAGAAGACTAATTGTTCTTTTACTTCAAACAATATTGTTCTTCAAGTAAAACTTTCGGTTAATCCATAAAATTCCATCATATCGTGATAGGTTCATCACTTCAAGTGTACATTCTTCTTGTTAGCTGCCACTTCTCAGTTCAACACCTGGAACATTATGTGTGTGGATTTAACAGTCTACTTGTTACATAGGACTACTTTCATGTTCGGATATCCTTGTTCTTGTACTAAACGAAGGTTCATTCTTCTACCACTCTTTGCCTTAAAAGGAATTATTGCTACCGCTTTATAGCAAAAACTTAGAGATCAGTTATTGACTTATGTTTTTCAGTAAGATGGAGGTTTTTGGTTTATTTTGTACTGAAAAATTAGGTCTCGAACAATAGTTCCTTTTCTTAGAGGTGCTATCCTTAACTTGATAATTTGGACAGTCTAGAGCTATATTACATTGTTTATTACATGCATAGCATCTTATGTGAATCCTCCTTTCTCTATTAGAACGCTAAAATTCACAAGTCGGGTGACATTTCATACCTAATGGTTTTATACGCAATCCTATAAATATTTGATTGCTCATATCAAACATTGGGAATTTATTCCAAACCACACCTATTTCCAAAGGATCATCAGAACATAGTCTTCTAATTTGAAGATGGCAAATAGTAACAGCTTCCGTTAGTAGGTGCAGTATTTCTTCTTTTCATGTCTAAAAATTTCGTACATTTGCTTAGAGTTCAAGTAGCCTTGAGCCTCCTTACTTCTTCAAAAGCATTGTCTAAAGTTCGAAGATATTTATGAATTATTTTTACAGTTCCGATCTAGCATCATATACAAAGTGGAATACTCTGTACGTTTCATGTATGTTGGGGACATCTATTATAAAGAATCCGAACTTGAAAATGTCCGACTCCAAATCTGTTTTTGTACTGTTCCAGTTAATTCAAATGATTCTGATTATAAATCTTATGGGCAAGATCTTACTATGTATCTCTGATTCAAATGGTGTCCACGACGGAAAAGTCTCCGTGTATGTCCTTGTAACTAGCAAGCCAATATTAGGCACATTTAGGTTGGTAGCGATATAAGTAGCACACGAGTTTAAATCATGACCATAGATAGAAGTGAATTTTTGGTTTGTTTTAACTACAGACTCACATTTTCGTCTGGTCGTCTTCTAAATTAGTTTTTTCCACTACAGCCTTCCGCTGAGAGTTTGAAGGACAATCAATATGTCGATTTAAAGTGAGTAAGTCAGTAGGTTCTTCAACTGTCATGGGTCCTTCACGGATTTCATATATTTGATTAAAATTGTCGATCGGAAGATTCACAAGACTGTTTTGTCTGGCAGAGTCTTTCTTCTACCAGTCCTGTACGAAAAGTCATATATTCAAGAGCTCGTTTTAAAGTATTAAACTCTACATTTTCTCCTAAAGTTTACATATTGACTCCTTCGAAACTACTAATATTCAATCTCGAATAAATAGTTGGCTTACCTGCGCACTCAACAACCCCACACATCTAGGATTTTGGGGTCCAATAACTTAGCGCGGGTGGATTCAGTTTTCACAAATGAAGTAACCAAAGCGACACTCTGCTACCAGTAAATCTTCTGTGAAACACCATAGTTCGAGTTTGGTCGTCAAGGGGTTAAACAGAAAAATATTTATTTACAAGGTTAATGCATGGGTGTAACGAAGAGTTAATTTTTCCTTTTATTAACGTAATGAATAACATAACGATATCATGAACTCAACTATACAAATAATATTACATTTAGCGAAAACCAAATTTAACAGCGTATCAACAACTTCACATTCATCAGAAACCATCATACACACTACGATGGTCGTTTATGTGTGGAATAGGGGTAACCGGGACTTGAGAGGAATATGTACAGATGAAACAAGTAATATGTTTTTAAAACGTTTTTAATTTAAAATACTATATTTCGCTAGCATCGTCAGGTGGATATAATTAAATGATGGAACCTTTTTTTTATCAAACTAAAATGTTTAAAAAATATCCCTTAACACAACGTTAATTTTCCTGTTACAAGTATTTCCTTTAATTTAATTTCAATATACAGTTTTTGTGTTCGTCATTAGTGTGAGCTATGGCAACGATAATTTTTTCTGATATATTACTTCTCATATTGGTTCAGAATGGTCTTGGGGTCTCTTAATACTGCATGCTCTCTTTGGTTATGCCACTTTCTTTGCATTTTGTGGCAATGGCATGAAAATTACATGGGAAATCTAGAACACCATGAATTGAACCCATGCTCAGCCACCTATCACAAACACCAAGGCAGATCTTACATAAATATATGAATAATCTTGAGAAATTTTGGTTTGAAGATGATTATTAAAGATAATCGAAAGCTATCTCCTATCAAAGTCTTTATATTCCAATGTGACGTATACCCATTTTTAATATTCACTACTGAATAAGCTACACATTAGTGCAAAGTTATTTCAATGGACGTGCAGCTGCTCGAAAACCGCAGATGAGAAAAAAATAAACAAATCAAACCAAAAGGTTGAAATAGGCATCGTACCACAAACAGTGGACTGAGAAAAGCTGGAGACGTGTTTTTTTGTTTTTTTTTCGTTTAGATAAATCCAGGTTTGAATCATTCATCAATAAACGACAGTTTATTCAACGGCGGAGAAGAAAATGGTATCATACTCGATTTACAACATCTAAAGTGAAACATGGTGGAAATCAATACATGTTAAGGGTAACCTTAACTCAGCTAACGTTTTTTGGTGGTCTCTACAAAAGTGATAGCACCCTGACTGGCACATTCTGATTCATTATTCTCTTCTCTCAGGAACACAACTCATTAGGCGGGAATTAACCATGCAATGATCTCAAGCATACCACAAATGTAATAAAACGATACCTTGACGGTAAAGAGGCTGATGGAAAACTCACAACCATAACTTCGCCTACAGAATGTCCTGATATGAAGAGTTTTGAAGCTATATGGGCTTATGTAAAAATTGAGACAGTCAGAAACAGACCAAACAATTGTGGAAATAAATACAGTACATTTGGAACAAAAAGTCACAATTATACATTGTATAGCAGCATGAAAACAAGTTGTAATGATACGAGTAAAGCAAAGGACTCATATACAAAATACTAGACTATTGTACAATTGCTTTTGCATTTTGTGTGATAATGTGTTGAACCATTAATAAATTCACTACCTAGTTATTTTTAATCTATGTTTGTGAGTTCTGCATGTGTATCACTTGTTTGTTTCGATAATTATTTTGAATGAGATATATCTAATATCGAATACATCATTTAAACGTAGAGGTTAAAATTAGCAATGGCTCTTTTGATTGAAATATTTCTTATAAACATCGTGAATTTTCTTTTCAAATCTATAAACTTCTTTCACCTACCAGTAACAATTCCTTGTATTTCATAAAATATTGTAATTTCTCAGTTTCTTGCATATCGCAATGACCAGATGGTTAAGGTGCTCGACTCGCAATCTGAAGGTCGCAGGTTCGAATCCCCGTCCCACCAAACATGCTCGCCCTTTCAGCCGT